GGCCCAGCTTGCCACAAGTGCGGCACTTCTGAGATTGAGCAGGGCAGCGCGCGCGGTCTGATTTATGATCATTTGACGAGCCACGCCAACGACACGGGCAGTTGAATCCCTGGAGTACCGTGCTTGGCTGGATGGAGATGGCTTGGATGACTCTTGTTTGGCGGGAGGACACCATTCCTATGGTTGTCTGGGCGTGTAAGCAGCCGTGGCTAGGCTCATGGGGGCTTGTTGTGCCTGTTCTTTGTTGACGGACTCGGTCTTCCGGGCACAGGCAATAGCATCGGCGGGCGTCAATGATGTGTGGTCCTTTAGTTGTAACTTCTTCGAGACGGCTCTGTCCGTCATGTGCGCGACGAACCTGTCCCTGATCCTTTCGTCGGGCTTGTCGAAGGCACAATATTTAGCTGCAGCGCGGAGGCGGCGAATGCACTCCTCCACGGACTCTCCGGGGTGCTGCGTGGCTTGCTCAAATATTGTTTTCTGGTGGATGACGTTGACAGCCGGTGTGAAGCATTTGTCCAGAGCTGCCGTGACAGAGTCGTACTTTTTCCTGGTGTCGTCCGTCAGCGGGAGAGCATCGAAGATGTTGTCAGCCTCCGCGCCCATGGTATACAACAACGTGCTAATTTGACGGGTTTCATCATCCTGATCCAACTTGGTCTTGGACAGGGACCGAAAGCGCTCGAACCGTTTGGTCCACTGCGGCCACGACTGGGGAGAACTGAAGTCGAAGGGGTCTGGCAGGGGAAACTTCTTCTGACACCATGTTGCGTTCAGAGAACGCACCTGAAAACTCCAGTCTACTTTCAAGATCACTCAGATCACAACTGACTTTATCTACAAGAACACGAGGTGATAAATCCAGAAGACACTGGAACACAACAGCAAGCTACATGCATACTATGTCAGGGCAGTTTGAAATCGTACGGGATTCAGTGTACACTAGATTGTTCACTTTGCTAACAAACCACAATACAATCGGAAGCACACAGTTGACAGGGTGTGTGCGCAAAACAATACAGATTGCAAATCAGTGGTTGCTGATTGCAAACCACAACAGTAATGTTAAGAGAAAAAGAGCTAGAGAGAGAGAGAGAGAGAGGAGAGAGAGAGAGAGAGAGAGAGAAGAGAGAGAGAGAGAGAGAGAGAGAGAGAGAGAGAGAGAGAGAGAGAGAGAGAGAGGAGAGAGAGAGAGAGAGAGAGAGAGAGAGAGAGAGAGAGAGAGAGAGAGAGAGAGAGAGAGAGAGAGAGAGAGAGAGAGAGAGAGAGAGAGAGAGAGAGAGAGAGAGAGAGAGAGGAGAGAGAGAGAGAGAGAGAGGAGAGGAGAGGCGCTCTCCGTCTGGACGTGCATTAAGATGAAGACAAATGGTGACCTACTCATCACATGTGGACGCAATAATACATGCATAAAAGAAGAACATCACGAGCGCACAACGCGAATAAATAATATGAAGAGCTCAACAATCAATACATCTATGCATGGCATTGAATACATGAGATTGTATATCAAAGGAGAGATCAGCAGTAAATACATCCAATATCAAAGAATGGGAGGGAGGGAGGGAGGAAGGGAGGGAGGGAAGGAGGCAGAGCACAGCTGCCGACTATGGATGAGGTGGCGTTGACAGTCACCAGTCAATCCATTACGACCTCTCCCTCCAGATGCCACCACTCATGAACAATATCATATTGGGCGTCGACTGCTGGCCAGGGCACGGGAATCATGGTGGGGGACGGGGTCACTGCTTCTGTTGTCAAATTCCCGGCCAAAGGCCCCGCCATCATACGCGTCGCTTTTATCATCACTCTCAGCATTGCTCACTGACTGAAAGCTGCGAACGGTGCGGCCATCCTCAACGTCTGGCAGTACAGGTGCTGAGTCAAGCTCCAGTAGGTCGATGTTGGCCACCTTCTCTGCGCCATTGGCATGGTGGATCGCAACAGTAGACGGTTACACAATCTTCTCCACATTCCAACCAGGCTCGAATGGCGGGAGCAGCTTCTGGTGACGACCGGGGCGTCGGAACAGTACTGCATCACCGGGAGCGTAGATTGACTGGGCATCGCTGGGTAGCGCTTCTGGTGACGACCGGGGCGTCGGAACAGTACTGCATCACCGGGAGCGTAGATTGACTGGGCATCGCTGGGTAGCTGTGGAAGCCTCGATGCTGACAACTCTGTTTCAACTACATTGCATACTCGGGCAGCTGATTCGCTCACCTTCTCCTCCAACTCACTCGGCACAAGCGCTTCTGTGTGCGCCTCCGCAACCAGTAAACGGGGCTTCCAGCCACACATCGCACCCATCAGTGGCACTGTCGTCGTGGAATGTGGCCGGGAACGGTAACAGAAGAGTAGGAGATCCAGCTCCTTCTTCCAATCTGACACCTGGTCTAGGATTTTCCTCATCAGCTTATGATAATCCGGTTCATACGCTCCACTCCAAATTGTGACGGTGAGTGATGAGTTTGTCACTTCACACGTCTGTCTGGTACCGTTGCAGAGCAGGATCCACATGCACCTGCAGGTAAGCATTGCATACATCGACAAGCTCATACTGCTCTTCTTCAACTTTCTGCCATTTGCGTATCTTCTCAGCACATGCGGGCGCATCCGTACCGGGACTAGACTGGATCAGGTCATTCAGGCCACCGTAGTCAAGGCATGGACAGGCAGGAGGGGGAGGGGAGAGGGAGGGAGGGGAGGGAGGGGGGGGGGGAGAGGGAGAGGGAGGGAGGGAGACAGGGAGAGAGAGCACAGCTGCTGACTATGGATGAGATGGCGTCGGCAGTCACCAGTCAATCCATTACGACCATAATAACTCTTTACATGTTCTTACAAGTTCTTTACGAGTTGTGAACATTATGAAGGTTATGAATATTCTTTCCTAATCTGAACCTTTATTCTTGTTGTCTACTAAGTGGGAATGTGAATATGTTGACTGTTGTCATTGTCTTTGTAGACATTCGCCCTGGACATCGCTGATACCGGCTGCGTGGGATCCTGCTGGAGACACCAGCTTCTGGGTTCTAATTGTTTTGAACACAAAACTGCCCTCGGCCACTCGAAGCTGCTCGCTCAGCGATTTCCTGCTTGGCCAAGATACATGGAGTAGGACCTTTCCACATTTGAGTGATGAAATCTTCTATCCGAACGAGACTTCGACCTGGTCCATGTTCTCAACTACCAACCACACCATGGAGTTTGTTGTGCATCTTGTTGATCCCAATGGCATGACTCGGTGTCAAAAGCCGTTCACTGTGAATTGGCACAAGTCTGAGGTACTACAGTGGCATCTTTCTATCTGTATTTGCATGCGTGGGAGCTGTTCTCCTGCTTGCTGGACACCATGTACATGTACATGTGCTGCAATGACTTGCACGCCCACACTATGTACTGCAATGACTTGCACGCCCACACTATGTACTGCAATGACTTGCACGCCCACACTATGTACTGCAATGACTTGCACGTGCACACTATGTACTGCAATGACTTGCACGTGCACACTATGTACTGCAATGACTTGCACGCCCACACTATGTACGGCAATGACTTGCACGTGCACACTATGTACTGCAATGACTTGCACGTGCACACTATGTACTGCAATGACTTGCACGTGCACACTATGTACTGCAATGACTTGCACGTGCACACAATGTACTACAATGACTTGCACGCAGTACTCTCCTTAGACATGTGTGACGACATCAGTGGAATTGGTTATGTGTCGGAGCCTCGGAGGCACTGGGAGCTACTGAGTATCACTTGTTTCCTGTTGCCTTCCGCGGATTTGTTTGTATCTCCTTCATAAAGAGAACTGCACAATTTGTTATTTTATACCTGTCAGTACCTGTCAGTATTCATTTGCATTCATCATGTGGTCATGTGACACAATTGTGTTTGAGTTATGCATGTATGTTGAGCTGTGCTTGTTGAATTCTTATTTTTGCGCTGTTTGCTGCTTTATCCAGGGGACCTCTTGGCAATCATGGCGGGTGTTCCGTTGTGGCATCCTTGAGCCCGGCCTGTGGACAGCTCGTCTCGTTCCAGTGGCAGTGAGTGCTTTGTCAGTGGGGATTGATATAAATCTGGGTAGTAGCACTACATGTGATAAATAGAACAAATTCAAATGATGCCAACATAATGCAGTCAGACCTCGCATAACCGCACACATCCGTTTTCCACAAAAAATATCCGGATAGGCGAGGGAACCGGATAATCGAACACACATACTGTATGTATGCATCGCATATGCTGTATATCGGCAACCAGCGATTTTCTTCCGGACGGCGAGGGATCCGGATAAAAGAGGACCGGATAAGCGAGGTCTGACTGTACCATGTAACAATCATGCAATGAAAACATGTATAAACATGTGGTTGAACTCGGATGGTGAGCCAATTGAATTATGGTGAAAAAGGAGAAGGACAAAATGTTACGAGTTATGACTAACTGTCCACCAACGTAACCAGATCTTATACAGTCAGCGAGTGCGACGCAATGGCACAACACTGACAAGGAGTACTGAAACATTCGGCCACCTGACACCTAGCTTCAACACTTCTCCAAGGCGCAAACCAACAGTCTTCGCTTAGCTTCCCCTTTTTATGTTTGTTACATAAACTTGCGCCTCCCAAGTTGGGTAGTCTGCTGCTTTGCGTCGTCGAGTTGTAGTAAGGTCGGTATGTCCAATAGTCTTACTAGTTTCGTCATCATCCAGTAACTTTCGGCATTCTTTGTTGCCGTGGGGCGTAGCTCGTGCTCTTCTTCGTTGCGCTTTCCTTCCCCTCGTGGACCTTGCCGAACCTGAGCCTTCCAAGTTGGAAGGTTGTTGGTTTGCGCCTTGGAGAAGTGTTGGAGCTAGGTGTCAGGTCGCCGAATGTCTCAGTACTCCCTGTCAGTTTTGTGCCATTTTGTCGCACTTGCTGACTGTATAAGATCTGGTTACATTGGTGGACAGTTAGTCATAACTCTCACATTTTGTCCTTCTCCTTTTTCACCATAATTTAATTGGCTCACCATCCGAGTTCAACTTTGCACACCTGATGAGCTGTCATGACCTCTACGGCGAAACGTACGTCGTGTGGAACTACTTGCTACTTCTACAAAGCCTGCATGTTAGATTGCACTTTCATGGTTTGCAAAAATCTTGGTGGAGGGACGGGATGAAAATGGAAGCACATACCCATTTCTACTATCTGCTAAAATCATTCCTGATGCACCAATGCGTTCCCAAACTGTTACGTGTTGCGCTAGACCACCCACTATTACGTCATTCAGCCCTGCCCCTCCCATATCTTCTTCACACACAAGCTGGGCAACTATGTACTCTGAACACATCGTTTCTTCCAAACACTGATCATCATCATAGAGAAGGGCCTCTTTTACAGGCAATCCAGAGAAAACTGAGTAGATTATCATCAATGAATATGTCAATATAGTCGGGAAACCATTGAATTGAGTTAAATTAAGAATATTATTGTGCCAGATAAATATTGGATGATTGCTGATATTGTACCAAAAAGATATTATCTACATAAATGTAAGATATTAGAGAGGTTCCGCATAACGTAATTACGTTAGTAAAAAACGTAGTCGATCTACGGAAAGTCATACGTAAACTGCATGCGCATCTGGGTTCCGCCATACGGAGTTTTCAAATCACGTAGCTGCCCTTGCCAACTCCGAACGCGGCAGTGTACGACCAGATCGACCTGGGGAGAGAGTCATAAATTTGTACCCCAATCCACTTACGGACCAGCTACGTTATCAGAGCCCTATCTACGTACTCTCCGTAGACAACTTTCCGTAAGTGGAGTGCAAACTTGCGAATTCACGGGTTTTTCCCGCCCACTAACGTAAAGTTGCTCAACTTTACGTAGTGCGGAACCTTTCTATTAATCCCACATAATTACTGAAGTGACATGTGATATTCTGCTCAGGTCAAGTGCAATGCACTAACGAGCCTGACGGCACTGAGCAACAAATGAATTCAAACATCTTTTGTTATACGAGCCACGGCATCCACGGAAGCAAGTAATTGCCCACCGCAAAAGGCAAAATGATAATCGGGTACGCAGCATACCCGACAACGGGGTATTTGAGATCATTATGGCGCTCTACAAAAGTGAGGCCAAAGCCTTCAAAAACTGATTGGTCTCAGGTGCACTGAATCCATATTATGTTAAAAACACCAGTGGGGTGAATGAGCCACGCTCAACGTTCACAACCCGACTGGCATATTGATTTTTCACTCACAAAGCGACTGTTCAGTACATGGGGTAGTGGTCTACCAGAGCAATCACACTCTACCAGAGCAATCACACTCACCACCGTGGTGGTTTTCCAGAAATGAGTAGAAGCAAAAAACCACACTCGCAGCCACAGAATAGATAAATAGCCGAAAAACATCTATATCCATCAAAGAACCGCCAGCAAGCGGGAGAAAAGGCCGTGAAATCAAGTGAAACAGCATGGCCAGTGGTGAGCATGGGTGACTGGGCAGCAGGGGAGCGCCTGAAAAACAATGACTCCCTACATTCCTAGCCGCGACCGCTCAACCGGGCTAGAGGAAAAACACGCCTTTCGGCCAAAAAACCTTTCTATTTTCATTAATTCCTGCCCCGCTGCCAGTCAGACCCAAGAATAGAGATAGCAAGGAATGGTATGTAATAACTGGTGTATGTCATAATCATAAGCCACACACATAGGCATAGATTGTCAAGAAGAACAGCAGACGACTCCCATGAAACCAGGGTGGGTGGGCGGGCAACTTCAACTACCACGAGGAAAAACAAAGACCACGATGGCAGGTTCAACGGAGTTGCGCAGAACAAGAGCAAATGCACGAAAATATTTGTGAGTGAAAAATACGTTTTTTGCACTCTTTCGCTACGCTCAGCCGTGAAAAAACAAAACTTTTCTTCGCTCGCTCATGGGATTTGAGCTGGCTCAGGGCTTGTGATCGAGACAACACGAACGCTGCGGGGTGAGTAATCCGCACATCAAAAAAGCGTCTTGTTGCCATGACCAAAAACCCCGAGCCCGCACATCCAGACGAGCCTCCGCTTTCCTGTTAAGGGATCGCCCTCCCGGCAAATCCTCGTTGCTGCAGGGAAGTAGCCTCGGCTCCGTCTCCACATCCACTATGCCAGCCTCCCACAGCAAGCTTGCCACAAGGTCCCGTACCTCATTGTGCCGGGCAATTGTGTACCCGCCAGTGGCACACGTGAGCGCATGGCTCGGACTGAGAGAAGCACCACACACGCAATCATCTGGAAATCCAATCAGTCTCCAACCATACCGGATGCACAGAGCATCCCGGTAATCTGATTTTTTCAGTATTGTGCCATCTTGCCAAGTAGGAGCTACGGTTAGCCAGGACGATAGGCCCTTTTCAGCAGCTACTTCGATCAGGAATTGCTGCTCATGTCCCAGGCTCTCCTTGATGTCCTGCCGTCAGCTGACGATGGTCTTAATTCTGGCCATTCTTTCTGCCCAGGCCAGCTGACGAGTATCACCCACCGCATCCCGGACCAGGTCAGGGGTGTACAGCCGAACTTCCTGGGAAGGTGCAAGGTGCATATCCACCGACACCGCACCCGCAACCCCACGAGCCATGACAAAATCGGCCGACACCGACACACTATCCGCCGACGCCGACACATCCGAGGCACCAGAGGCACTACGTGCAGCAAGCTGCACAGCACCAACCGACACGCTTGCCACTGGCTCACCTAGCAAGTCCGGAGGGCTCTCATACTTGCCTTCTAGGAGGAGGCGTACGAGTGGCTTGGTTATGTGTAATGATGCAGCGAACTCTGCCGGGCCACTCCGCTGCAGAATCGGGAGAGCCAAGCCGCCAAAGCGAACCGGGAAGGACATTAATTCTCTCTCAGGACTGTTCGACCGAACACCATCACCGAGCAGGGCCGGCAGCAGTCACTCATCGATTTTTTCATCTACACCTGCCAGAAGCTGGGAAGGTGCAAGGTGCATATCCACCAACACCGCACCCGCAACCCCACGAGCCATGACAGAATCGGCCGACACCGACACACTATCATGGCATGGCGAGCAGCGCAGGTGATATGTCCATGTACTGGACAATCCTTTGGTAAACACGGCGTAGGCAGCCTGTGGCTGAGTAACAGCCATCTCGGCCAGCGCATCCAGGGACTGCCTCCACACCTCCACACGGTCAGACAGAAATGAGAAAGAGAAATCCGCGCTTCCGATGACGCCACCCAGATGATGGTTGCCGTTCGTCTTGATGATAACGCCGGATGTGGAGAACAGGCGCCTGGCTTCTTCTTCATACTCCGGCTTGACCAAGAGAACTGATTTTTTGGGATTTGGATAATATCCATAACCAGGACCCAGCTGGCAAATGTCCTCCCAGTACGTGTACAATGATGCGACACGACCACCAGCAGAATCATCGTCAGCATACCATCCCTGCTTGATCGATGGATTCTGCTCCTGGAGCCGTCGGATCATGGGAGTTGTAGCTACGGCATACAATGCCATGGCCAACGGATCCCCTTGGCAGGTCCCTTCACGCGAAAGAACTTCTCCACCCCCAGAGACGAAGAGGCGGATCGGGCTGCCATACGTATTGCTGAACACTTTAGCCATGGCAGGGCACGTATACGGCACGTTATGCAGGGCTGCTTTCCTGTTCAGGGCATTGAATGCGTTGCTCCCATCCACAAACAGAATGCCCTCAATATCATCCTGCGCAAACAACTCCTGCATGGCATGCACGCCTGCCTCACACGCTGATGGTACACCAATGCACAATTGCATGGGAGCAGTGGCTCGAAGCACATCAGACTCCAATACCCGCATGATGGCACGACACACTAGCCGGCGATAGGCCTCACCTACTGCTATCGGACGCACGCCAGGGTGCTTGTCCAATGGTGTGAGCCGCGCGGCAGTGAATGCTGCTAGGTGCTCGGGATCCAAATTCCCAGAGCACAGACATTGGGCAAAGTTGGCCAGGGCGGTGCAGAGACCATCAGACGACTTTCTATAGCAGATCAGCATTCTGGGGCAGGCCGGGCTGATTATCATCATCAACATCATCGTCATCATCGTCACCACGATTAACAACATCAACACAAGCAAACTTAGCTTTTTCTGAGTTTCGGGCAATACTGGACGCAGTGGCCCGTCTCTCCGCAGTGATGGCAAACAGCCGTGGACTGCCGGGTTGTGGGCCTGGATGGATCGGCTGGCAATCGTTGCGCTGGGGCAGGCCGGGCTGTTGCGGCACTCCAGTTGCCGGCTGGTGCGGGAGTGCTGGCCTGAAAGGGCTGCTGCTTCTTTGGCTTCGAGCCATCCTTCCCCTGCTTCGTGGCTTCGATTGCCAGGCGGAGACGTTTAAGTTTGTCTGCGCTGGCCAGAAGTCCAGCCACCTTCTGTGAACGCCGTGGCGGTGTCATGGCCATGGCGATCCACAACTGCCACCCAGTCCAGCCTCTTCTGCAGGCCCTCGCTCGCGCCCTTCAGCTCCTTCATCTCCTTCGTCTCCTTCGTCTTTTTGGATTTTTTAATGAATTTTTTGGCTGCTACAAGGTGGCCAGATATCTGAGACAGGCATTCAAACTGGTGCTGATAACTCAGCCGCTTCATACCTGGCATCATCATCGTATTAGGCACTGATTTGCTCCTCTTCTTGGCTTACGCTTCTCAGACCTTCTCTCCGGAGATGAATCCGAGGACGACCTGGATGAGCTGGACGACGACGATGAGGAGGAGGAGGCCGACCGGCGGCGCTTCCTCTCCTCCAGCCGAATAACTTGGCGTTCCAGGAGACGCATCCTCAACTCTACCTGGTCCTGCGAGCAGGTTTCAGCTGTCTCCCGGGCAGCTTCAGCACGACGACCTCTCGGTGTGATTGCAAAATAACCAAAAAGAAATTTGTTTCACATGTGCAACAAAACAGACTGCACCCTTGACAAGCAAGATGAAAAGAAGGACAATCTTTTTGCGCAAACGCTGTTTCACAGCGCTCGCTCAACAATGATTACGTCACTACAGTGTCGTCAACCTGCACTGTGTGTCACAACAAAAATATAAACATAAAACAAGCATCGCAAATATTCGAAGTTTGAGAGAACATTGCTTCTCGTTTCTTTCGAATACTCAGCCCACGAGAAGCGTACACATTCTGATTAACTTGTGAATGGGTACGAGGCTGTGCAGCCTTCAATGTTGCCAGTTTTCATTAGTCAAGTGTACACCTGACCGGATTTTACTTGCCACAACTCTACTCTATGACTGTATAGGCATGTGTTTGACCCATGCATGTATATGCTGTATAAGTGTGTGCTTTGGCTGTCATGTTGTTACTCTGTGATAGGTCGACGGTGACATCGAACAGCAACCAGCAATGTATGAATCCCACATATTCCTGGCCAGCCCAACAGCCAACATTGCCCCCACTACACTAAGTAAGCCTGAGTTGCCGCAGTTGTTCTTGTTGTCATCATAAGAGAGATTCTGCTTTTTGTATTTGGAACCTCAGCATTTGACTTGCTACAGTCGGAAAACGTTTCAAAATTTGAAATGCGGAATCTGTCTAACAGTTAGTCTCTGTTCAGACTGTGTGTGTGTGTGTAAGCATACAGCCTACATGTCCATGTAAGCCTGTGAACCATATGTACGCCGTTGTAAGCCTACACATGATCTGGACTCATGGTTATTATCTGCCATGTACTGATATCTACATGGCCTTCATGCGTGTCGCAAATGAATGCAAATACTTCTGGGACGTAGATACACGTGTGCAGTTGAATAGGCCAGAAGTGACCTCTGCTTTGGGTGATCATCTACATGTGCCACCCATGAATTTTCTCTCTTTCTTCGTGCACCGACTTTTTCTCATACACTAGTCCTCATTGGACCCCGTCCCCATCCTTGGGCAGGGTCCACAAGAAAGAAGCACAAATATGTGAAAACAGGTTGACAAGGACTTGTGGCAGACTTGACTGTAGCTCAATGACAGTAGCAGGTGTGTTGGTGTTATCTGAACTAGAGTTTTCTTGGTTTCATGCACAGGCTCAATGTCAGCATTGTGGAATGTGGAACGTGTGTCTTTTGTCAACTCTCGTACTACACAATCAAGTAAGAAATCTTACGTTGACTCTAATTTCTCAGAATGTTTCTCTCCTTAGAGCAGGTATTACAAACTTTGCTAGGCCGAAAGTGCCCATAACTGTCATGTTTTGATGTTGAACTCACACTGTGTGCATGCATGATGGTGCTTATCCCTAACATGAAAGCTGTCCATAATCATGAACACCCCAAGAGTACATGAAACCCAGAGTGTGCAGCTCGAATGGGTTGCTATCATGGAATGGGTTGCTATCATGGAATGGGTTGCTATCATGGAATGGGTTGCTATCATGGAATGGGTTGCTATCATGGCGAAATCCCTGGATTACATAGTTTAGAGATGGTATATGCAAGCCTCGCTTGATAGCTTAGCATGTTTTCACGATGACAGCATGTATCCTCCGCCTTGTAACATGCTGTCATCTCCTGCTGGCTAACCCAGCTATTTCGCCAGGCTACAGGGGCGTCGGAACCGGTGCGGCAGGTAAATAATTTTCGAAGTTTTTTTTTTTTTTTTTTGCATTTCAACCTTGTTGATGGCTTGTCGACTCTTGTACAGGTACCATGTTTTACATCGACAATGCGGTGTATCATCAGCATGCATATTCTAAATTTCTCATATTATTCTGTAGCATTAATTTAATTTAAAATATGGCCTTTTAGGCCCAATTTTCTAAAAAAATCCCAGGGGGACCCCCGGACCGCCCTCTCAGACTTTTGCCGCACCAATGTTAAACTGCTTCCGACACCCCTGGGCTAGACACCCATGTAGAAAAAATTCACGGACTAAACACTCTTGGCTTGATGTACTCTGGACAGCAACCATATCTTTTTGCAATATTTGTACTGCACATAATGTGTAGCTGCCCTACTGAACACACATTGAACACACTGGAGCATCATTGTGGCTGCAACTTTTGCAGAGAAAGTGAGTCTTGTGCTCGATACCGATCATCCGATTGCAGACAACAGAGTTGCAACGTTCCGTGCAATGTACTGTGGTAGATACTGGTCAGCTGGATGTACTTCCTTTTCCTGCCGCCGCGTGCTCGAGTGGTTCACCAAACTCTGGCAACCCTGCAATTGACTGTGAGAGCCTTGCAGAAATACAAGTGCTCATAGTGAGCAGGACGGACAATGGCCTCGGGATGTGCAGCTCTGTACTTCTGGAAGAGTATATATGCGCTTACACAAGCCAAATCAACCACGTCCAAGAATAAGCAGTGCCACCACCTTTTCGACCTCTGGAGGACACAATATGCTGCCACATGGGCATCAAACTTGTCCACACCGCCCACCGCTTGGTTGTACTCATTGACCGCTTGTGGTTTCTTGATTGTGGAGTCTTCCATCTGACCAGCCACCTTTCGCTTGCGTAGAACATCGATGTGAGCTGTGCCGTCGTTGTGTGTGCTTAGAACACTGATGACTCGGTTGTCATTCCATTGTAGATATAGAAGGTTGTTGTCCCGGACGTATCGAATAGCTCCTTGCTGACCAGGACGCTCAACACTTGCCGATGCAATGAATCCCTGCAGCAAACCAGGAGAGGCTGAGAGCAGATGAGGTGTAATACTGACCAAAGTGCACCTCATAACCTTGGTTGTGGAAGCCCAGCATCAGGTTCTCCACGTCTCTTTGAGTCAACTCGCGATCACCATCGGCATTGTCTTTACCAGTGTAGGTAATATGGCTGAACATGTAGGAGCTCAAGGCAGAAGCAGCGCACATCTTGAAGCCCCATCAGGCAGGCCTGTTCTTGGTGTACTGTTTGATTGAAACCCTAGCTTTACTTGATCAGTCACTCATCCACGTTCAGCTGCTGGTGAGACTGGTAGAGCTGCTTGCATGCACTGAGTATGTTCTCTATCAGATACCTCATCTCCTTTAACTGCCATTGCCCTTGAGCATCATGCGGTAATGGTCTGAAGAATGCCAGCAATGCCCAGACATATGTACGTGTGGGTAGGAACAAGCGAGCAGCTATACAAAGTACGTGTGAACCAATAACTCTCGAAGGCAGGGACACGGTCGATGCCAGCGATTATGAGCAGCCTTATGAAACGCATGATCTCCTCGCTGTGTGTGGGAAGTACAATTTGAAAAAGTTAGTCTTGCTGGTGCGAGCTAAATTCTGCGGGCAGGCAAGGTCCGCTGGGCCTGTTGGGGTTGAAATTCTCATGACCTACAAACGGAGGAGTATCACCTGTGGCCCGATTATTCACGCTGGCAGGGTATAGGTTTGCTGCGCCACGCCGATGACCTCTGCCGAGCCCCGAGCCCTGAGCCGTTCGCAGCAGCAGGGGTGCAGCTTCTTTTCCAGCTGCAGCTATTCCACAGCCACATCTACACCCGTGAGTCTTTCTTCCTCGTGCTGCGCCACCACGAGCGGCAACAGCTTGCTGGGGAAATCGCGCCAATATTGCTGTTATCTTTGTCGTCACTCAACTCATCAGTTGAGTTTCAACACTCACTATATGCAACAGTGACTTGTAACTTTTCTTTGTCGTTCTCCTTGCTCACCTCCTTGGACCTGCAATTTCTGATGCGCTGCTGAATCATAATAATTATCTAGATGTTCCTCTTTGTCCGTGGGTGGTCTGCCACGGTCTGTGTCACTAGATGTATGGTGTGGCACATTTCTGCCCTCCTCCTCCTCCTCCTCCTAGTGAAAGATCCGATTAGCAGCAGGGACTGCATCAAACTGCGCCATAGCATGTTGACGGAGGAAATAGCAGTATCCGACTGGAAAAATTCAACTTCATCGTGCACCTCCATGAACTCACGCGAGCACAGAGATCGACGCTGGCCAAATCAGGCACACCACCCCAATTCAATTTGGCCATGAAGGGGTTTTGGACCAGCATGTGTGTACAATGATAAATAAACTAAGCGAGGCAAGATACACAAAACCTGGCCTAAAAATATATCCATTATGGTCCACGTTTGGGAGGAGCAAATATCAGAAGCAAAAGGAAGCGTGTTGATAAAATCGTAGTGTGAGTGATCAGACTGATATAAAGTGTGAGTGATCAGACTGATATAAAGTGTGAGTGATCAGACTGATATAAAGTGTGAGTGATCAGACTGATATAAAGTGTGAGTGATCAGACTGATATAAAGTGTGAGTGATCAGACTGATATAAAGTGTGAGTGATCAGACTGATATAAAGTGTGAGTGATCAGACTGATATAAAGTGTGAGTGATCAGACTGATATAAAGTGTGAGTGATCAGACTGATATAAAGTGTGAGTGATCAGACTGATATAAAGTGTGAGTGATCAGACTGATATAAAGTGGTAGTGTGAGTGATCAGACTGATATAAAGTGTGAGTGATCAGACTGATATAAAGTGGTAGTGTGAGTGATCAGACTGATATAAAGTGCGCACTCATATCGTAACACATTGCAATCCAAGACAGTAGTAGTTTTGTGTCCAGAACATTTCTTGTCAAAAATCATCGGTGAAATGATCTTGGCTAAGGGCCTGGTCAGACTGCGGCAAAATCGAAATAATCCTAGGATTATAATCCGAATCTCCATAGTAACTTGCCGCCAGAGCGGCAAAAGCGAGAGTTGACGCTCCAAAAAAAAAGCAAGAACGGACCACGCTTTTCCGCTCCAAACAGGATTTGACGCTGATACGCCATTGACGCTGATAATCACTGATTTTTTCATCTCGATATCGAGGAGCTAATTGGCCACGGACAACAACAAAACTCATAAGGATAGTTGCAAGGATTGCACTGAAGGTGTTGGCGATCTCAAAGGTGAAGGAATTTGACGTCGTTCGTGGAGATTACCACTTGACGCTCGAAATGAAGTTTGAATTTTCACTCTCCCCACATGTGTCGTGTGATCGTGATTCAAATTCTGGACGCTGTTCTTTTTTCGTCAGGCAACCAAAATTTGCCGCAGTCTGACCAGGCCCTAAAGGGAAAGACATATGTAGAAGAGCATTCTGTACTGCCTGGCAAAACATCTGGAAAAAAATCTTCTTTTTCTGAACGTAGATAGGAATTTGTAGGGCAATTTTGACTTAACTTAAAGCATCATTTTATTCGTATAAAGGCACAGACGAAGATGAAACTATCAGAACCTGTGGATGTCTGGGCGCTGAATCGAATGGTGTTGGTCCGAGAATTCTGCGGTCTATCATGCAATCCTTACTCCCAATCGGATGCGATCCTATTTCAATATGTATGCATGAACTGATGACGTGCACCGTTCGTTAGTGCACCAGCGAGGGCGAGGGTGTGCAGCATGTAGAACTGCATTGAGCTCTTCAGGGATCATCAAAAGGTCACTGATTTTCCCAGTCGTGTGGGGCTCAGTACTGTAGTACGTCATTGGCTGGTCATCCCCACTGTTTTTGCTACAGGACCCAAGATATCTGTTGCACCAGCAATACTGGAAAAGAACCTGCGGAGATTTGTGATGCCGGCTCCAGGGGTACGAGATTAACCAATGTGCACCTTGCTTTCTTTTATTGCTAAGAGGTGGACTCCTGACTGTGTGTGTGTGTGTGTGTGTGTGTGTGTGTTTTATTGGCATTATGCTTACCCTGTAGAGTTAGTCATCTGTCCTCAGTATGCCTATTGTATTCCTAGTCGGTGTTAACCCTTCGTTTGTGCCTGTAGTGGTACCATACCGTCATTGCAGTCATCACACACCTGCAGTCATCACACACCTGCAGTCATCACACACTGGCTGGTTTTTGAGTGTAACTGTTATTGTCAAGTTCAAGGAGCGGAATGCTGTGCAGTAGTGTATAGGATATAGAGAAAATTGTTGTCTGCTGGTATCCATGCACGCTTCCTATGCGTGCTGTATCTTATTGAATCTGTTGTCTGAGAGACTTGCTATATTTTGAGGGACTTTGTTGTCAAAATTAATGATGTTGCGCCGTGCTTCAGCTGGGCAATGATGGCAAGGGCAAGTTCAGAGGGAAGTCTCTCGTCCGGAGAAAGCACGGCAGGAAGTCTCGACCTCCTGGCAGCAAAGGCCTCACTGTCTTTGAGACGTAAGTGTGCAGCTGTAGGCAGCTGTTTGTTGGTGATAGGGTTTGATTGTTAACTAGCTAGCTTCATGTCTGTTTAACATCAAGTGTTCTTTTTTCGAATGTAACCAATCACCTGTGTGCTTTGGGACTGTGTCTTGCTGTAACTTTGGAAAACTATGCCCTGGTGTTCAAACATTCTCATGCAAACAGTGCTTTCATGTCTTCCGTTGCTGCGTGCGTAGCTGGTTCAATTCTCTGGCGTTCTTCTGTGTACGCTTTCTGGTTGTGGTGCTAGTACTCTACATCGTCCTGACAAAGTAAGCTGTTGTACCTATTGAGAATTGAAATTCACGTTAGTTTTTATTTCAAGGATTCTCCCAAGGCGAATGGATGCCTATCAAGGGGAGTCTCCTGAGGAATACAATGTGCACAATGTGAGAGGGTTGGGGTAATTGTCATGAGGGACGTGAACAAGGAACCCATGGCAGAAAACAGATAACAAGTAAAAAAAATCAGGACCGGTCTAGAAGGAAATAGAAACAAAGCTAAGTTCAAGTTCGGGATATCTTTCACCGAGTACTTATAGTGCAAATACTTAGTGCACATCATTATTCAAGCTACTTCCGGAAACGAAAAACTTCTTGCCTTTTTTATCCACAATCCAAGGAGTTATCGTGCTCAGGAAATTTCCAAGTTGGAAGGCCGTTGGCCACCGCTATCGAGCAGTGCTCAAACTCACTTTCATGCCATGGAATGTCCAAGCACTTCTTGTCAGTCTGGTGCTAAATTGTGCACGTCTGACTCTTCAAGATCTGGTTTAGTTGGTGAACTCTAATGCATAACTTGTGCCCTACTGTTTTCCATGTTTTCATTCCAATATTTCCTTTGCTCGCTACCTAAGAATTTAAATGTGCTCTAACAGGTAGTGGGGTGCAATGTACAATAATTCTCTCTTTGTTGATTGCCATTTTTAGCTAATGCCATAAAGCCGTCGTGGCATGAAAATGTTCCAACTAAATGCACTGCAGCAATCAGTAAAGAACCTACATTACGAAAGGTACGAAGACTGTAAACTAAAACAACTAACTTCAAGAACATGAGAACAACGGAAGATATAGAAAACGAGCACGGCAGGACAGTGCGTAGATTACTAAACTATTCATGCTCGGATATGGTACGATGCACATAGAGAGTGTGCTCAGGTTACACACTCAGACATGAATGGTGATAACATGTGAATGCATAAGAGGGGGCATAGAAAGGTCAAACACTGACCTGGATTGGACATCCGTAACAGTGGTCAGTTACGGCTAGGCTATAGCATACAATGCATGGAACAGCCATGAATGAGTCTCGGTCGACCTACCAAGCATGACCAGCACTAATGCACTGGACTACAACTATCAAAACAAAAGAAAGACCGGAATATTCTAGAACAAATCTAACATACCTCCCTCACGAACGAAGAGTGATAACTAGCATCTGAGTGAGTCTAAGAAAAGAAAGTGCAAGTAACGTAGCAATGAAGTGAACTAACAGACTGCAAGTAGTGTTCACTCAGTACCTTCGACTTCAAGGGGCACAAGCCGATGGACAGCTCGCTTGTAGAATCTCTCAGCCACCTTGACCTTCACCACTCGAACAATACCATCCTTGCCGGGATAGACCTCTGCAACACGCCCAAGCGGCCAGTGTGACCTTGCTGTGTGCTCGTCCATCACAAGCACAACGTCTCCTTCCTGAACGTTACGCTGCTTCTGCAACCACTTCACTTGAACGTTCAGCTTTGGGACGATTTCTTTTAGCCAGCGCTTCCACACATCGTCGATGATGCGCTGTACGACCTCCCATCGCTTCCTTGGGTGAACTTGCGTCTCTGTAGTTATGTTGGCTTCAGCGGCCATTGTAGAATTGGCATGTCCAACTAGGAAATGCTGTGGTGTCAATGGCTGAAGGTCCTCAACATCTGACGTCATGGTGCAGAGAGGACGACTATTGATGAGGTCTTCGGCGTTAACCAGTGCCGTGTGTAATTCCTCGTCTGTCAAATCAGCTCTGTACAGCACACCCTGTAGCACTCTTTTCATGGATTTGACCATCACCTCAAACACACCGCCGAAATGAGGCGCCCTTGGTGGGTTGAATGCCCACGAGATGCCACGTGACGTCATCTCCGCGGCAAGCCTGGAGTTGTCCAGTGACTTCACAGCTGCTCTCAGTTCTTGATCTGCCGCGACGAAGTTGGTACCGTTGTCGGACACCATCTTTTGTGGCACTCCGCGGCGCTTAGTAAACCGGCTCAGAGCTAGCAGGAAACCGGCAGTATCTAGAGAGTAGACGAGCTCAAAGTGACATGCTCTGGTCAGGAGACAGGTGAAGACACATACATACCGCTTGGCCTGAGATCGACCACGACCCTGGCGTGTGTGGAATGGTCCAGCATAGTCCACTCCGACCTTCGCAAATGGTTGTTGTGGTCCAGACGTTCTGAAGTTAGGAAGCGGTGCCATTGCTGGTGTTGCCGTCTTGACGTAGCGCTTCCGACGGAGAATGCACTTGCTCCTGTGCTCTTTGACTGCTGCCTTGCCTTTGACTATCCAGTATTCACCAGCGAGCAGTGATAGAAGGTGGTTCGTACCGACGGCATGATTGGCGTTCGCATCGGCTGCTGCGATGATTAGCTTTGTTGTTCTGTGACTTCTCGGTAAAATCACTGGTGTCCGAATGCCGGGTGGTAGATGGTGTGCAGTGCGAAGTCTCCCATTGACCTTGAGAACACCAACGCCACTAGTGGTGTCTAGTACTGGTTGAAGCTTTTGTAGCGGTGAGGATGCTGAGAGGCCCTTGCCTCCTGTGACATCTGCAAACGTTCTGCCATAAACCTCTCGCTGAGCCAAGCTGATCCATACACACTTAGCACTCCATAGCTCGGACACTGTCAACTCTGGCACGGAGACGTTTCTCCCAGTTGGTAGAGTTATGGACTTGGTCGCAATCTCAGGACTGGCGGCTTGCGTGCTGCGTCGCCTAGCATTGTTGACGAATCGTCGACACCATGCGGTTATCCGTACGAGGTGATCCCAGGAGGAGAAGTGGTCTGGATGAAGACGGCTTGTGGGCAGCTCTTGCGTAGTGGCCACCATCGTGATCTCTCGTTTCAATTGACCTGGAAGCTCTGCTGGCGGCACGATGTGCTTACTGGGCCATGTGGAGGTGGGCTTGGACAAGAAGGCTGGACCTGTCCACCATGTTGCATCATCGGCCAGCTGCGTCGCACCAACACCTCGACTTGGCATATCAGCAGGGTTGACTGTGGTGCTGACGTGACACCATTGACTTGCATTACTGAACTCTTGGATCTCCGAGATGCGGTTTCCGACTTCGATCTTGATTTTCCTGCTGGGCGATCTTACCCAGTACAACACATTCATCGAGTCAGTGTAGAAGTACTGCCGTGATACAGGAACATCAAGTGCCTCACCCACTGAGCAGCTCAACCGAGTGCCTAGCACTGCACCTTGCAGCTCCAGCATGGGGATGGTCTTGCGCTTGATAGGTGTTGGTCTTGCCTTGGCGAGCGCTAATGTCACCTTTGCAGTCCCGTCATCACGCTCTTGTCGGGCGTACGTCACAGCGGCGTAAGCTGATGCAGACGCGTCTGTGAACGTGTGGAGTGTCAGAGGCTGATCTGAACTGATCTCGGTGAAGCATCGGCTTGCCTTCACATCTCTCAGACTTGGGAACTCTGAGAACCATTGCTTCCACTCCGATGCTTGATCACTGTCCAGAGGATCATCCCAGTCTGTTCCACGGATGCAGGTGGCTTGGAAGAGAATGCGACTGCAGATGGTGAATGGACACAGCTGTCCTCTGGGATCAAACAGTCGGCACATTTGACTGAGCACTCCTCGCCGTGTGAACTGGACGTTGCTCGGTTCTGGATAGATGAATGTGAACTGGTCATCATCTGGCTCCCAGGCGACTCCAAGAGCCTTGTGAGGAAGAGGTGGCAGTTCACTGCTGGCTATGGTCATCATCTTGTTGCTGGCTCGATCTTCCAGTGGGATGGAATCCAACACCGCTTCCGTATTGCTCATCCACTTCCGCAAGTGAAAACCACCACGCTGTGTAACTTGTTGAAGGTCACTCCGAGTGACGATTGCAGATTGTACTGACGGTAGCGACATCAGCAAGTCGTCCATGTAGAAGTTGTCATCAATGGCCTTTGCTACCTCGGCGCCAGCCTCGCTGCTGAATTTCTCTGCCGTTGCTTTCAGTGCTCTTCCTGCGAGGTAAGGTGATGCACGCATGCCGAATACAACCCGGCAGAACTCAAAGAACACCACTGGGTCCTGTGGTGACTCACTCCACATGAACCGATGGTACTTGCGATCCGTCTCGCACAGCTCGACTTGTAAGAACATCTCAGAGATATCTGCGGCGAGTGCGATCGGCTGATGACAGAAGCGGAGTAAAACTTTCACCAAGTCACTCTGCAACTTCGGACCGGTGTGCATGAGATCGTTGATGCACTCTCCGTGCACCTTGGCTGAGCCATCAAACACCACGCGAACTTTTGTTGTGGCCTTGTCTTCTCTGATTACTGGGAAATGAGGCAGAATCCACTGGTCGACACCAGCAGCCTGAACTGCGGACGTTGATACTGTGTGAATGTAGCCCTTCTTCAGGTAGTTCTGAAGCACTTCTGAGTAGCGCAGCTGTACAGTAGGAGTTTTCTGGAACAGACGGTGTAGCGAGCAGAGCCGCTTCCTGGCGTACTGTTCCGATCTCTGCTGAATCTTTGGCTTGCTACTGTTGCCTCGCCATGGGATGCCGACAACGAACCGTGTGCCGTTGTGGTGGAGACTTTGCACGGTCATTGCGTCAGCCTCACGCTCATCCGGAGTCAGGTAGGATGATGTGCTCTTGGCCTGCATGCCAACGCTCTCGAGGTCCCAGAACTTGTTGACGGTGTTTATCAGTGTACTGTCACTTACAGCCAGTAGTGATTGTTCCGTCATCTCTGATGCGCTGTCAGTCGGACCTTCGCCGAACAGTACCCAGCCCAACGGTGTCTTCCTGGCAATTGGACCTCCCTCACTGCAGAATCGTTCGGCAAGTGAAATGTGCAGCTGTGGCGCATTGAGACCAATCAACAGATCCACTCTGGACTCGTTGCTTGCAGGTACGACGTCACTGAGATGCGGCCAGCGTTTCAGTTCCTCTGTCCAGTCGAAGGCTGGGACGGGACGCATGATGCGCGGAAGCATCCACACTCTGACGGTCGTTGACGACTGGCCATCAGCGTGACATAGTT